CCCCTTTTATCTGTTCGGAATCCGTGCATAATTATTGCTTTACTCTTCCGCCCATCACGCCCTGCCCTTCCGCTCTCCTGCGCGTAATGCCGCATTTTTTGAATTGTTCCAACGTGCACTACTGCTTGAATTGTTGGCGCATTAATGCCTAACCCTAATACGTTTATAGCCGTGAACACCTGCTGTCGCCCTTTAGTTAACTGCTTTACCAACTCGCTCTTCTCCTTACTACTTCCTATATTTTGGTGGAAATAAACGCACTCTAAAACTTCTACTAATCGAATTGTCTTCTTTACCGTGTCGCAATACATAATTACCTGCCCCCCTGCGTGCTTCTGCTTTAAACTCTCTACTAACTTAACAACTGCGTCTTCTTCCTATTGCATGTTGTATTGTTAAATGCGGTATATAATGTTTTTCCGCGTTATTGGCCCCCGAAACCACTAGTATTCTTCCCTAGCTGGTAACCCTATTAATCGAATAAATTCCTCCTCTTCTCGGGGCTGGATTGTTGCCGTTAAATACACCAACTGCATTTCTATTATAACCAAATTCCTTAACGCCAATATCCTGCTCCTCCACCCGCCTACTAAATCCAAAATTACGTGGCATTTATTAATTATAATCCGGTCCAACCGTCCTATTAACCGCTGTCGGTTAATAAAATTGCTAAATACCTCCCCAACCGCCGACTCCGGCGTGACCAACACAACCTGCGCCTATTCTTGCGGACTTTAACTGTTCTATTTAATGTAACCGATGCCGGCTTTATTGCAACGGCTTTTTATATCCTCCCGCAACAACACTAATAGCATAACTACTACTGTCACGCCTGTTAAACACAATGCTGGCAATATAAACAACACGCTCTTGCCTCCACCTGTGCCTATAATAGCAACTACCGGGCTTTTATAGTGCATAATAGCCTTTAATACTGGTTTTTGCACGCCCCGAAATTCGGCCTTTTTACCTACCAACGCTTTCAACTGCTGCTCTATATCCACTAATCTTATTATCTTCCACCGTTAATATTCCTCCTTAATAGCCTCCTTTCTGTCAGCTGCCGCGCGGGTTCCTTTCTTTGGCTTGGTCTGCATCGCGCACGGGAACTGCAAAAACCGATGCCACTCTGTGCTGACCCTCCGCAACTGTGCCCTCCTTGCCTTAGTGCTGAATATCGACTCTATAATTAACCGACTGTATATTCCCCCTCCAATCCTGGATCTATAGCCGGTCTAGATATCGAATACTTTGTCTTTATTATCTAAATTATTCTTATTGCCCTGCACCACCGCCTTTACAACCGCCTTGGAATTGATATATTAACGGTATATAGCCTTAGTGCCGTGTCTCTATGCTATAATATTTAACTTAACCCCTATCTATCGCAATAACGCTCCTTGCAATACTATCTTTAAACGGTTGGAATTCCATTTCTCGGGTAACGGGACTGTGTTTTTTCCCCCTTTATCCTCGGCGATATTTTCGGTTTCTTCTATTGCTTTGCATTTTTCTTCTCCTTGCTCTTTATCCTTCTCTTTATCCTCCTCTTCTTTGTCCTTTTTATCTTCTGCGCTTGCTGCATTATTAATTTGAACCCGCCTCCGCTTCCTCTGTAGTATTATCTAACCCTTTTTAGGCTCGGGCTCCTATATAAATGGACTAATCTCTGCTGGTTAACCGCCCTATATACTCTCTAACCTCTGCTAAAATAGCAATACTAACCATAAATAATACACTACTAATTCGCCCACCGCGCATAGCAAATATCGGTGGATAACCTTGGCCTTTCCACTAACTCCTATGCCTTTGTGGTATGCTGTTATATATACCACTAACCCGTCCTTAATAAAAATCCCCCTACTGTTGCCATTTGGGCTGTTTCGATGCTGCACTGTTATCAACTCTATTCCACGCGCTGGTAACCCACCCGTTATATGCACCAACGCTGCCAAATACTGCCGGAATACTTGCATTGCTCGTGTATACTTCTTGATTTCCTTCCCCTTCTATGCTAACCCTTGCTTGCCTTTTGCTGCTATAGCGGCTGCTGGGTCGCTGGCTCTAATATTAATAAACCTCTCCCTAATCTTCTGCTCCTAGCTAACCCGATTACTTAACCACCTCTTTCCATGCACGCCCCCGAATCCTAACTCTTGATTTTGCGGGTCCTCGATAAAACTCCATCCTAACTGTTGCTCGGCTGGGTTATCTACTAAATGCGCCCAATTAATAGCTGGTAATGCAACAGCTTCCTGTCCACTTAACGGCCCCTGCACAACTTAATTAACCTCTTCTAATAATAATAAATCCCGGTGCAACTCGACCCGGGCTGTCTCTACTAACCTGTGGACTATCAAACGCAACTAGGGCATGCTAAATCGAATATTACTATACAACAATATATCGTCCATCTACTTAATTACGCCCTCGGCATTAGTAGTATACCGGATCTTTATCCTATACGCCTTTAACCGCTGCAACTAATCCACAGGGTGCGGTATTCCGCTATATTAAACCAACGTTATAAACCGGTCTACCATCTCTTACACAAATTCAAAATGCGCCGGCGCTATTTCCTCGGCGTTTTTCTGGCTGAAATGCTCCTTCTGTTATATATCCGCCGCGCGCTCTTTACATATCTTTATAGCCTGATATAAAACCAACATGCGGGATATATTAACAATGGCTGCAATCTTAGGCGTGTATATTAACGCGCTTTCCCAACTGTATTGCTAGCTAATGCCTAAAACGGCCATGCCGCTAATTAATGCGCTGGTGTACTTGTTGTCCGTGAACAGGTGGTCCAACAACGCTAATATAAATGCTAAAACGGCCTCCTCTAACCTCTCTTGCTCCTCCTCGTTAATTATATAACTGTCGTTGCTATTACTGCTGTCGTCGCTAATGTTACTATTATTGCTATCCTCCTCTTTATCCTGCCCTACTATTATCTCGATCTTTGCCAACGCTAACCCCTGTTTACCTGTTAACCTAAATACTGGCCTCTAGTTCTAGATATCGCCCTCGCTCTCTAACTTTTCTATCTCCTTGCTGCAAATCGGCTCTATTCTGCGGGTTCTCCAAACGTAACGGACAATAGCCAACCAACACGCGCTGTATTTAACTATTATCTTGCCCGTCTGGCGTGCGCTAAACGGCTTCTCGTTTGTTTTGTTGCCGGTTTCACGTTAATTAATATAATTTATAGCTGCCAATCCAACCACGCTGGCTTTAGATGCTTGCTGCGCCTTCCAAATTACCATCTTAACTGCAAAACACAAATTAGCCAACGCTCCCTCTCTCTTCTCGGGCTTGCGCATTAACAACTCTAACTACTCGCTATCTAATCTCTTTAAATGCTTTGCCTATCCGGCGCGGTTTAACTATGTATTAACCTTAAATTAGTTGTCGTCGGCCTAGATCTAACTGCTCGCTTCCTTGTTAGCTCTCTTAATATTAATTATTGCCTGTGTAAATACGGCCTCTAATGCCTTCTGGATAGGATCCTTCTATTCTTCTCTTTTAGCGGCTGGGTTATGCGCGTTTACCTGGAACAATCGGGCCAACAACGCCTTGCTGCTGAATTTCTGGCAATGCACACTAACTTCCCACATCTTCGCCCGCTGCATAATGCTCTGCTGCCTTTGGTAATAATATCCTTGCTTTCGCGGATTCTCCCACCTATGCTCCTTCTTATAATAGGTCTGTATATTCTGCAAACCGCGCACTATAGCTCTACACGGCTGGTTGTTTTCATAGGTTCCTAAACATTTCAATCCGTTATACTAAATAGGTAAATACGGCACGGGTTTAGCGGTGGGTGCTGGGAAAACAACCTGCCTGTCGTTCTGGGCCCAATCTTCCATGTCTGCTACGGCCTCTTGTATGGATTTTCGTGTTGCTAATATTAATTCCTGGTGGTGCTTAGTTAAATGCATTTATAACTGCGTTTTAGTAATGCTGTGGCTACAAACTCGGCAAACTACAATGCGGTACTGCGGGATATGCTCGAAAATTCGGGTGAATTATTCTATAGCGTTCAATACGATTGCTACGATAATTGCTGTAACGGATTCACGGTTTAATATAATAATGGGATGATGGAATATTAGATAATAGATAATTAATAAACGTGTTAATCGCCGTGTTAATAGCGGCCGGACGTGCTTTTAACTACTCTCACCGCTACTTGGACCCTTCCTAACGCCTCCTGCTCTTAGCCACCTAGATTATTACACCCGTTACTTAACTATATATCTGGGGGATCTATCTACAACCTTGCATGCCTGGGTGCAACTAGTGGCATAGTAGGTCCTGATTTCCGGGTACCTAGGGCTTATAAATAGCTTGCAACGACTATATCTATTACGAACTTTGGGTACTTAACTACCCTCCTACGTTTGCGCCTTAACTGCGATCGCTGCGCACGGCCACGAACATTATTACAACCCTAACTACCCCAACGCGACGACGACAACATAATCCAACGGTTGCATCGTTAATCCGAATGGTGCATTTAATACGCAATAGTCGATAACTTGCCTGCAGCGTTGGAACCAGCAAATTCGGTTGGGGTTTGCCACGGTATGATTTGATTTTCGTTTCTAAATCATATTGTTGCAGCGCACGGTTCAGTTTTAAATTATAATATAGCATATGCCACGATATGTTTTACCCATAGGTTAATAGTATTTTACTGCGCGCTCGGTTGCGGTTATAGCAGTTCTGCGAACACTATAACTTCTACCTAACCCTAACTAACTATACAGGTTAACCTAATACAAATCGGCTAGAGGGTGCAACTAAATGCGCTAAATAATATACTAAAATTTGGTGTAATTCCGGCTGCGGGATATAAATAGAACCTGCCTCTAAAAAATAAATAGAATAAGCCCTGTGCCTAAATCTACGCCCTGGTCTAGTATTTTCTATCCTTAATAAATAAATAGAATAAGGGCTAGTTCTATTTACCGCTGTAGGATAGAATTCGGCTAAATACTTAAAATACCTGCTCTTAGTACTAGATTTAGCTATTTTAAATACTTAGTCTGCCTCTAGAATTAACTCTTACTTAATATTTAATAGGCGGCGATAAGTGCTACTTATAGGTTACTAGGTGCAATTTCCACCCCCTTTTCGCCTCGCTGCTATAGTTGCTATAGTTACTAATTACTCTAACCACCTGCTAAACTATTATAACTATAGCCTAATTTATAATATAACTATACCTGCCCGGGATCTATATATAACTGTATAGGATCTGCGCTAATATATACGTCCGGGCTTAAAGTTCTTGTTTTTAACTAAAAATTAGGCCTATAGCTACCTTATTTACTACTATACTTTTCTTGCCTGCACCTAATACGCTATTATTAGATATTAACTACGCCTGCCTTCTATAAGTATTAGTTTAGTGCTGCTGCTAATATTTATATAGTATATATAGCTATAGCTAGTAGTATTCTACTGCGCGCTTAGTTATAGTTATAGTAGTTCTGTAAATACTATAGCTTTTACCTAACCCTAACTAACTATATAGGTTAACCTAATATAAATCGGCTGGGGGGTGCAACTAAATACGCTAAATAATATACTAAAATTTAGTGTAATTCCGGCTACGGGATATAAATAGAACCTGCCTCTAAAAATAAATAGAATAAGCCCTATGCCTAAATCTACGCCCTAGTTTAGTATTTTCTATTCTTAATAAATAAATAGAATAAGAGCTGGTTCTATTTACTGCTGTAGAATAGAATTCTATTTCTTAGGTAATAGAACTGTATTCTTTCCCCTTTTATTTTTAGTAATATTTTTAGTTTTTTCTATTACTTTATATTTTTTTTCTCCTTACTTTTTATTCTCCTTTTTATTCTTCTCTTCTTTATCCTTTTTTTTATCCTTTTTATCTTCTACGCTTACTATATTATTAATTTAAACCCGCCTCCGCTTTCTCTATAGTATTATCTAACCCTTTTTAGGCTTAGGCTCCTATATAAATAGACTAATTTCTGCTAGTTAACCGCCTTATATACTTTTTAACCTCTGCTAAAATAGTAATACTAACTATAAATAATATACTACTAATTCGCCTACTATATATAGTAAATATTAGTAGATAACCTTAGCCTTTCTACTAATTTCTATACCTTTATAGTATGCTATTATATATACTACTAACCTGTTCTTAATAAAAATCCCCCTACTATTACTATTTAGGCTGTTTTAATACTATACTATTATTAACTCTATTCTATACGCTGGCAACCTACCTA